GGTTTTTTTTTTTTTTTTTTTTTTTATTCTTCTAGTTAGAGAAACAAATACATTGATACAGACAAAGATTACAACAAACTCAGGTCCAAAGATTGGGAATCTTTCAAACCAAGTTGATAAAGGTGCAATAAAAAATTTATTAAAAAAAAAAAAAGAAGCAGATACTAATAGCTGCCATTGAACAAAAGAAAATCATAAAAATAGGTGCACTATTTGTGAGATATCTCCTCACAATACAGTATTTTGCTTCACAAAAGAGAGCCTTAGAGGCAGATTACAGAACAATTCCAGTCTTCTGAGAGGGCCGTTTCATCTTTGAGCTAGTTCATACAAGATAAAACATATAACATAAACCCCAAAGACGGCCGGCCAAAATAAAAGGCTAAACACAAAACACCCATAAACGAACAGCTAATAACGGCAGTTCAAATAAATTAGAGGAATTTCCCTTATTACAAGTCTACAAACAGGGGCCTCACATCACCCCCAAGGTCTCTAGCACCATTCTCTCGAGGTGTAGTTTGGGTAACCTCAGATGCAAGTCTACAAACAATTCCCATGTTGCTTAATGTATTGGGATGATAGATCCTTCCACTCACCAACATTTTGATGTCATTTGATTCCTCACTCTTTCAATATCCCAAAATGTCCTTCGGCTTAGCCACCTATTTGAAGAGATCAGTTAGCATGGGTGCTTTAGGCTACACTGATTGTGCCTCCCTCACTGCCTTTCTTAGATACCAATTTAGTTTGAGCAGTGTGTTTAGATTTTTTTTACTTTATTAGGCAATTGTCTAGTTCGCATCCCAGACAAACTCACCTTTTATTAGGAGGTCAAATAAAGGAGACCCCATCGTCCCATAATTAGGAATGAACCTCCAATAATAACTGATGAGACCCAAAAATCCTCGAAGCTCCTTCAGATTGGTTGGTATCAGTCATCGCAACATGGTACTCACTTTTTCCAAATTGAATTCCATGCCTTCTACTAAAACCCAGTAATCTAAGTACTCTACTCTGTCCTTGGAAAAGGAACACTTCTTGAGGTTGGCATACTAGTGGTTGTCCTTATGCTGCTAGAAGATGATGAATAGACAAGTGACATGGAAGACAAGGTCTAAAGGTAAACCAAGATGTCATCAAAGAATGCCAACACAAATCTTTAAATGAATGGTCTGAAAAATGTGGTTAATTAAGGACTAGATCATGGTTGAGGCATTTGCGAGGTCGAAAGGCATGACTAGAAACTCATAATAGCCATTGTGGATTGAAAGGCATGACTAGGAACTCATAATGGCTATTGTGGATTATGAAAGCCATCTTGGGCACATCCTCTTCCTGCACGCGTATTTGGTGAACGTAGCTTTGATACCAACTTGTGAGGTCTTCCTTCACAATATAGTATTTTACTTCACAAAAGAGCCTTAAAGGTAGATTAAAAAACAATTCTTACTTCTAGTAACTTCATTACACCTCAAATTTCTAAGAGCTTCTTCTAACAACGTTAAAATTACCCCATTACACCAACAATCAGGCACCACCCTACCACATATGTTATCTCAATCTTGTAAGTAAAAGGATCGCACACCCCTCTAAACCAGCATCTTCCTATATATTGAAGGTAAAACTAATTGAATGGAGTAAACCCCTAGCAGTGAATCATCAACCGTTGCACTATTCTCATTCCACGTAACAACTATTATACCTCCTGCACTACCTTCAGCGTTGTAAACAACCCAGCCAATATGTCTTCAGCTCAGAGGGATTTAATAATACTCCAGGCAACCTTAGCTAGCCTTGATTATTGAAGAGACACTATGTTCGGATTAAATCTAAAGATGAAACATGTTATCCATGTGGATAGTTAAAAACAATATTTTTATGAGTTCAACAAAATATAAGATGGAGATTCGAACCTTTACCCTTTTGGTTTTTGATATTAGTCTTAACCAATTGAGTTATGCTCGAGTTGGCAACAAAAAAAAATATGCAATATAATACAGGTGATTTATTCCCCAATGCCCTTGTTGAAGTTCAAAATTTGCTTCTTTTGTTGCTTTTTTTAATGAAAAATCAAGCTTTCATTAAGAAGAAGGAAAGAATACAAAAGGGTATGCAAAAGAAAAAAAAAACCCAACAAAAGGAGTCAAATACCAATTTAAGCAAAAAAAGACTTCAATCCAAAATGATAAGACATGGGGGAAATTACAAAATGTCTCGGAAACCAATGCCTAAACATAAGAAGACTACACAAACAAAGGCTAATTGATGTGCACGATGCTTATCTGCATAAGTACACATGGTTCTTTATTAAAATCTTGGAAACTTCTATTAATCTTAATCAAAACAATTTTTCTTTTTGTATAACAAGAAGGAAAAAATATCGACATTTCAGTAGATGCAAAGACTTATATGTGAATTCTGATTCCGTAAGTACGCATAAATTTGACCAAGAGTGGATAAAGCATGAACATGGTTTTTTGAGTGAAAAAAACATACCTCAATTGGCCCCAGCTCTGCTAGACCAAGTTGCCTCCTTCGTGCATTGTAAGCCATATTTAGAAAGTCAATATTGCTGACACCTGGAATCTCAACCGGGGACTGGAAACTCATAAACAACCCTGCAAGCGACCTTTCTTCTGGCTCCATTTCAAGCAAATCACTTCCTTTAAATTGAATACTACCACCTGTAATCTCATAATCTGGGTGCCCAACGAGTACCTTAATCCACAAAGCTTCACGTAAAATTAGTGGATAAATCGAAAGAATCGAATCTCCAAGCAGATGACAATAACAGAGGCTAGGCATGTTGAGAACTACGACAATAGTCAAAAAATAATAATTATTATGGTGGCACTTGTTCTTTTCTTCTGTACCATGTATATGCCTAAATTCCCTTCCAAAACTTCAATCTGGAATAGGTTTAGATTCAAATAAGTAACCAGCGAAATTTGAGGAGCTTCATGCTATACTAAATAACTAAAATAAGCTGCAAAAGTTTCCATTCCAAGTACAAATCTAAGCAACAGGACAAGATTAAACCTCTAAGCTTATTACTTGCAAGGAACACGATAGACGTTTTTACAAGGATAAAGGAAATTAACACAAACAACACTGACCTTTGCAAATGTGCTCTTTCCAGAACCGTTCTTTCCCATGATGGCATGAACCTACTAGAGGCAGGAAGAATTATTCCGAATCATACAATGAACAAAACTTCAACGAAAATCTCAAAACCTCGTAAGAAGCCACTTCATAAATCGATACTAGAGATTAATTAGAACAAACCTCTCCTTCGTTGACGACAAGGTTAACACCCTTGAGAATCTCCTGCCTAGATTCTGCAATTACAGCAGTCAAATCCTTGACTTCCAACAAAAGATTCTTCTGACTGCCAGAGGAACTCGTGGACGGAGAATTGACGGCGGGGAGAGAAGCGGTTGCTATTCGAATTGAGCGGCGGCGATTGGAACGGAAGGGGAGGGGGAAGAACGTGAGCCTTGTGGATATAGTAGAATTACAAGGTGAATATCGAACCAGAGGAGAAGTGGCTGCGGTGGAGGAAGAAGTGCAGTAAGCCATTGATATCGCCATTGTAGAAAGCTGGAGAAGTACACCACCAACAACTGCGCCAGGTCATGGAAGAGAGTTTAAGAGGTCCCTCCTAATGGATGACGTTTGCTTTAAATAAATTATATTTTAATGGATAGATTATAAAAATAAATAAATAAATAATGCATAATCCTTCAATGCACCACGTGTCATTTTAATCGACACGGGTACATGTCATTCATATATCTAACAAATCATCCAACCTAACCTATACGACCCGTTGAAAAGGCCTTTGAATGAACTAAAAAGAGGTATGTTCTCAAGTCAACCGATGTATATGGGTTAGAATTTAGTTGAGTTGCTCGGTTCGATTTGAATCCGACCTGACCCGAGCTACTATTTATTCTCCTTCACCAAAAATTGTAACCTTTGTCTTCTCTTTTCTAGAAACGTTCCATGACGACGATTCAATGGATATCTATGACAACAAAGTCCCCAAAAAAAATGTAGGCAATTACAATAAGAATGTTCGAGCTTGACCCGACCCAACCCAACTCATAAACACTCGTACCCATGACTCATTCATCTGTAGCAATAACGATGTGTGAACATAGTCCTACGTGAATAAAAAACTTACGACCTCTCGTTTTCTCCTCAGTGCAACAAACCTGACTGACGCCAAATTCCAAGGACAGTATTTGCCTCGAACATCAATCATTTGACGATGAATTACATCAAAACAACTCAAGTTCTACGTTCCATTTTATGGTCAAACTTACGCACCCATGACTCAGACAACTTCAAATCAACAAATTTCAATGTTCTCAAATACTTTTTAGCAAAGAGTTCGTGTAATTTTGATAAGATTCAGTGGATAGTATCAATGTTCATCTACTTTCCTTAACGTGTACTTTGAGGCGCTTAACTCACACCAAATGGCCCTCGTAATGCAAATTCGATAGCTAACTTGGTTGGATGCTTCTTAAGGTGCATTATTGGTAATCTAACCCGCTCAAAGTTACCTTGTTCCTTTAAGATGCTCGTTTAATTCTAGTTCACTCAAACACACTCTCCCTCTTTCCCTTAAAGTACACATTTAGTTATAACTCATGGACACCCACTCTTCTAAACCCTTTTGATGCCGAAGCCGAAACACACCTTAAAATGCTCTTTCGACGCCTAAATCACTCGAATCCATTTTGATATGAGCCATCTAGCGAAGGTTTCAAGTCATCCATGTTAGAAAGGATGCGGCTCATAAATGGTTGACCAAACCAGAGCTTTATTTTTCGCATGAAATGTTCTCGTTTTGGAGGAATGAGATTGTGGTAACGCTAATCTTAAAATAAACACCATATCATAATTGTCGTATCAAGGGTGGATTTGGTGAAAGTCCTACATCGATTGGAGAAAGGAACGAGTGCCAGCAAAGACGCAGGGCCCTGAACGGGTGGATTAAAAGATCACGTCAAAACGAAACCCAACTTCCAATCAAAGAATGGGAAGTATGTGGAGCCATGACCCAAAAAGTTACAAAGTTGGGTCCCCATGGGGCCTCTTAAGGTCCCACTAGAAAGCACCTGAGTAGAGCCTAAGCCTTGTGGCTTGGGCATCTGCCGCCATTGGCCTTTATGCTTTCCTTGTCGCCTTGCTCTGTTTCTTTTGTTCTTCGAATGCCCTGACGACAGCTCTGCTTCCTCCATTTTTCGACTACCTATTGGAATCAACTACTGTTCCACTCTCCCGTGCCTCCACGTGATCATTGTCCATGATTCTTCTTCTTCTTCTTCTTCTTCATGAACAAGCAATACAATCCAGTTTTGATTTCCACTGTGCAGGATTTGTTCGATTCCTTGCTGTTCCGAAGCGCCTGTTGCCTTTTTTTTGCTCTTTTGGATACCTCACCTCATTTTCTTTGATTCATACAGGTGCATGTATTTACATGTCTTTTAAACCTTCGATGATAGCTCACCATCCGCAAATCCTACAGTGATTTTCGATGATAAACTTGGAGAGAGTGAGCTTTACTGTTGGTCTGAGCTGCTAAATTTAGTATGGATATGATTTGTTCTTTGTTTTTTGTTTTGAATTTATTGTTAACGGAATTTGATGGTGGGAGACAGAAAGTGAAAAGGGGGTTCCCCTGTTCTTTCTCTGTCTCGAGGGTTTTTTTTTTTTTTTTTTTTTTTTTTTTTTTTTTTTTTTTTT